CTTCAATTTGCTGAACCATTTTTCCAAACCGACTTTCTGATCTTACCTCATTTTTATTGAACATATCTTTCATTATCAATATTTCGGCGTACCCCTCACTTTCCTTGAATGCTTCATATTTGTTCTTTTCCGCCCCAATTCCGGTTTTATTACAACATAAAAGACCATTCTTCTTATCAGCATCTTTCACCACCTTCACGTTGCTGATTTTATCGACAATACAATTAGAAAATTCCTGATAATAATTGCATGCCTCACGTTCATCCATTTTTACTCCAATTCCGTTCTTAGGGCAAGATCCAAGATTACATTGTTTCTTCGAAATGTCTTTTTCCACAAGCTTCAAGCGCCATTTGTACGACTTATGTTCGCCCTTACAAGGCTCCCGGCGAGAATCGAACTCGTGTTGCTCATCCATTTCAGTTCCTTTTCCGTTTCGGCAACCATAATCAAGACCATTCGTTCCATTGGTATGATCTATTTTTGTAGGGTTTTGATAACTAATGGGTGCCTTAAATTCATACTTTTCAGCATCAATTTCGTTTTGGTAACAATAAGAAGGTCTGTATGAATCGGGCACTAATGCTTGGTCGCTATCGGATTCTGTATGCACATCCTTTTCAACTCGAACTCTATTTTGACCTCCATTCTCAAGGTCACGAAGAGCCTGAGCATTTCTTAGTGGAACCTTTAGACCATCCGACAACTCATGGACGCAGGATATATTATTGTCACGCTTGTGGCCACTTTCATGCTTTCTGGCAGCAACGGTCGGTCGACTTCTTTCAGGCGGGTGGTGTATTTTTACTGTTTGTTTTACCGGGCTATTTATTACTGGGGATACAGTGGTCGGTACTTTAAAGCTTACAGGCTGTATTATATAAGGTATTTGCGGGGCAGAGGTTGTTACTGGAGAATTTACGGGGCATGTTGTTCGGCATATTGACGACGGAGCTACTATGTTGTTAGTTGGGACGGGTCCACACACGACTAATCCTTGTGCTGCCATTATTTCATATATTCAGGCTTGTTCGATGGCTTTTTGTAGTGTATTGGCATGAAGGATCCAACGCTGATGATAATTCGGAACGGAGGCCTTGCACGAACACTCGAACCTGCATTACTTCT